GAAAAAAACCAACTAATCAATCAGCATGGACGATAGATTTAATTTCTCCTGGGATATATATAAAAGCAAAAGAGAGTAATTTTTTAATAAATAATTTTAATCTAAATAATAAAAATAAAATACTATATCAACATTAATTTAATGTTTTAATGTTGTTTTCTTAATCCCCAAACATACTATACGTGTTACACACAATAAAGTTTATTTATGATTTTTACCATTCAGCACATTAACTTCACATGCACAGCTGAACAGTAAACAAATTATCAGTGCAATGGTTATACACGTAATTCTTAAGTTTTAAGATACTCATTTTAAAAAATATATATATTCTTAGGTTCTGTAAATGTTTGTTTTTCATTTTACCTATTATATATACTTTTTATTTAATTTAGATCCCTACCTTGCTAAATAAAAAATTCCAATTAATTCATACTGTTAGGTTGCTTAACCCTGAAGTGAGGGAAATACTTATTTCAAGCCTCCTGAGAAGCCACTTAATTACCTCTTGAATAAACTATAAAAAAAAATTATACATAATTTGTGAGTATTTTTTAAGATAAAAATATTTTTAAATAAGAATATTTTTAAGAGTTGATTTTTTTATCATGTCAACAAAAATTTTATATTAAACAATTAATTTTTAATTAAATATTATTTTTGATTTATTTAATCATTATTATAAATTAAAAAATTATCCCTTTGTTAAATTTTATTTAATATAATAGAATATTTATTTATAATTTTTACTTTCTAAGTTTATAAATTTATTAACTTTTGAAACAACCACATAATGTGTTTTAAGTTATCATTTAAAATTTTATTTCAATTTAACACTGTACATGTTGAAACTACTGGCTTAAAATAAAAATTGTATGTCTGAAATGTTATATTCTTAAGGTAACATAATATACTTCCCCTTAGTTTTTATGTTAACAGTAACTATGCCTATAAAGTTTTAATTTAACCTCTTTTATCATTTAGATATCACATGATTTTTATAATTATCTTTCTTGGTGACAAATTTAATAAAATATTATTTTTACATCAGAATAAAAATATATATATAAATCATATAATCATAAAAAAAATCAAAATGAAATAAAATCACATAATTAATTTAAAAAATTATATAAACTTTAAAAAATATCACATGATTTTTATATTTTAATCTTAATAGTTTATAGTAAAATTTAATTTGAAAAAAAATAATATTCTCATTCTTAGGTAGAAGAGATTTGTTATTTGACATGCTGTTATCTTTCCTAATTTAAAAAAAATATGTATTTCTTAAATTTACATATTTTGTAACATTTTTTTATTATTTCACATTGTGTAAAACTTTTATTTTCTTGATTGAACTTAAATTTTCTTTTGTTTTTTATGTCATTGGATGTTTTTAGTTTCCTTCTCAATATCACTCTAGTTTTTGTGCGTTTTTCTCTCTAAATAATATGAGCATTGCATTGAGAGCTTCTAAAATTCTCGTAGCAATCTCCACTTGGTAGTTTATTGTAGTCCATCAATGTTATTTAATTTTTTATAAAGGCAAGCACAGGCAGTTGGATCTCAGATCCTTTCATTGACAACTAATTATAAATTGATTTCTACATAAAAAAATTCTTCATTTTAAGATGTCGGAAGATTTTTTGTGATTGATATTAAAGTCATACCTAATACCAGTTGCAAAGAAATTACTCTCTCCGGTACTTTTTATAAAAAATAAAATAAAATATTTTTTTAATTTTTATTAGAAGAAATAAATGATAAATTTAAGATAAATTAATTGTTAAATTTTTTATATTTTTTTATTAATATTATTAAATATACAAATTACTAACTATATTATTTATTATCATAGATATTTTTAGAATAAAATTTATATTTATAAAAAAATAACATACTTAATTATTTTTTTATGTACTGATTTAATTTTTTATTTCTTATAAAAAAATAAAAAATATATAAATTTATGTCATAAATTCTTGTTTAAAATAAAACACAAGTATTATATTGTATCTTTTAATTCAAAAACCAACACTTAGTTCTATGTATTATAAAACAAGTAAAATTTGTGTCTGCTCGTGCAAGGCGTGGGAAGTGAGGAGAGAAAAAATTAATTATTTATTAAATACTCACATTTATGAGGTTTTGTTATTGAGAACGTGAAGCGCGAGGCTGGGAGGCTGTCACAATTGTGGCCGTCAAAGTTAAGTAAATCTCACCACTTAGGATTCTAACATTATTTGTTAAAATTAATGAAATTAAGAAACAAATTTTCTAATGAGGATATAAAATAAATAATAATTTTTTATTAAAAAGTATATTATTATTCATTAAATAATCAATAATAATTTCATTATGTAATAAATTAAATATATTAAAAAACAGGTGTATTCTAAAATAAAAATTGATCATAATTCATGAGTCCTGTTAAAGAGTATAAATAATAATAGTTAATAAATTAATTCAATAATTTTTAAATTCATTTAATATATTTTAAAAATATTTCAATGTTCTATATAAAGGTATTTATTATTTTTTTCATACTTTCCGTTTACTTTGTAAGGCCTACATTTACTTAAAATGTTTAAATTTAATATGATTTAATTATTATTAATTTATATATATATATATATGCATGTATATTTAAAATAATTTATTATTATTTTAAAAAAATTAAACTTGCCAACTAACCTTATGTTGACAAAATATCTGCTCATTGAAAAATATTATTGTAAAATAATTTTGTTTTAGCATTAAATAAAAATGCTTATATTAATGTATTTTTGAAAAATAATTACTTATTTTTTAATTTAAAAAATTGAAAGCAGAAATAATTATTATTTTTCTAGCAACTATTCCAAATATGACATAAATGCTGAGATTAATTTGTACCTATTTAATGAAATATCACCTCATTTAACTTCTTAACTGTTTTAACCCATCCCATTAACATGTGAGACAACAATCACTGCTGCTGTAACACTCACAATGCTGGGGACAGTTGGAATTTGATCAGTACTAGGGGTAGTTTGAGAAGGAAAGTGATTGATTATTCAACTACTTGATCTATCTCCTAGCATCACTACATGTATCATACTTGCATATATTTCTTTTATTTTATATTATTTTTTTTCAAAATATTAATTTTACAAAGTAATGTGGTAAAATGAATTTTTTTTTTAATAAAAGTGGCTTCCTAAATAATGCTTTTAAAATATTATTTAATTTTTTAATTTTTGTTAAAAGAATTAAAATATAGTTATGAATTTATTTGAATATGTAGATAAAATAATAATAAATAGGTATGTTATTATGAAAATATTTATTTAATTTACAAAATAATAAATGTTTTCACAAAAATTATTAAAGAAAATATAATATAAAATAGAAAAATATGCATATTATGTGTGAGTTAGAAGTAAATATATGTGTACAATTATGTGCAAATGTTTAAGATTAAAATATGAGTAGAGAATTGAAGTTAAACAGGTAAAAAAGATGTGAATTGTGTGTAGCATCTCCTCAGAACTGCTAACTTGTCTCCATTTGCAATTTATATATATATTTTAGAAGTAAATATTGAATTTGCTTGCAAAATTATCTGAAAGACCACAACAGTGCATGTGGATGCAAGAACTTGTCTGTGATGATGATTCAAATTCAAAGTCAAGTCACACATGGATTGCATCTGCCTTTGCTTATGCTTTGGGTTAAGTGTGTCCTCCTAAGGTAGCTCTCACCATATCAAAGTAACTTTACAACTGCATGTGAGTAGCAAAATAAGAAGTCCTACTGTAACAATGAAATTGAAAATGAATTAGCTAGCCTGTGTCTGAAGAACCTAGCCAAGTGTGCATTTTGCTTAATCTTGTGCTAGTCAGTTTGATTTGAAGACAAGAAGTCACGGAATCTTCCTCCAACTCCCTTGCGTAGGCATTCATCCAAGACTTGAATGGATTGTCAAGACAAAATTTTATCAATGAAATTATACCAATATGAAGTGCAAAATAACAAAGAAATGCTGATTTTACTGGCATACTTTCATTATTTTTTTTTCTCTTTTTACCAACCGTTTCTTAAAACTTTTCTCACTTTTGTTTTGAAAAGAAAAATAATTTGGTAAGTAATCCAGAGTTCTACCATATATAGTAACCCATAAATATAAATTGGGGACCATGAAACATGAGAGCGAGGATGATCCATGGCCTTGACCATAGCACATGGTTAAAAGTTACTTATGCCCTTTCAAAAGTATTAGTGACAGATTCTTCGAGATTCGCTCTTTAACGTTGCTTGACGACATCGATCTGTATTATCTTACAATTTTTTAAAAAATTTGTAATTTTGAATAATATAAAAATTATAAAATTTAATATTATTAAATATGTTAATACTATTTAATATTATAGTTTTTAATAAATTATATAAATTTTTATATTTGTGCAACATTGTACATATTATATTTTTTTTACATTTTATTTTATTATTTTATTTTTTATTATATTATATAGATTATTAAATCTTTTTTCTTCTTTTCCTTCTCTTATAAGTTATATACACCGGTAAGATATATAACGAGTTAACAACCTTTCTACGTTGATCATGTGTCCCAGGATCCTCAGGTTATCCACCTTCAATGCATTTGTGGCATACAAGGATATTGCGGCTTGTTTACATTAGTTTTGAATGGAGGTGATTGTAACACTTTGATACTAGTAAGTATAAAATTAAGATATAAATTTAAATGTAAAAGATTTAATAAACAAGTGAAAGAGCAAGAATAAAGTGATTGATAAATATAATACATATTTATGACATGAAATAAAAAAACTAGAAAATTAATATGTTAAATTCTATAATTTGAATAAACAAATCACAAATAAATTTTCAGGTATAATTAGAGATTGACATAGCGGTGGTAAATAATGGGAAAAGCGAAGGTTAAAGTTTAAAAAGGGCGCTTGGTATGTGTTGTGTTTGTTGGAGGCGCGGGTGCTCACGAAGTCTGCGTTGTTTTTGATTTAGGGATGAAAGAGCAAGCACTTGGGACCTGCCTTCTACACTCCACCACAACCTTTGGGGTTGGTGGCTGCTTCCTATTTCTATTTATTTTTCTTTCTATATATACACACATCAATTCCCCAACATTTCCATGTGACCCTTCTCTCTACTCTCTCTTTCTCTCTGTCTCTCTGTCTCTTCTCTTCTATTCTAGCAAAGAGAGGCTTTGTCTTCCTTGTTTTGATTTGGAGCCACTGAACAGAAATGGCAAAGAATGTGGGAATACTGGCCATGGACATCTACTTCCCTCCTGCATGCGTTCAGCAGGTCACTACAACTTTCATTTTCTCTTCCTGTTTTTCTTTTTCTGTTCTTTTGAGTCTTCTGTTTAACCTTTTCACTTTTCATAATCCTAGGAATGGAAATTCAGTGACGGTAATTTTGCTGTTAGCTAGTTTGCTTTGGACAAAATAATCACATAATCTGAGTTTTGTACTTGAAAGAGTTCACTGGAATTTGTTTTCTTTTATATAGTTAAAGACTCCGGAACAATAAATTTATCTGACTAGGTAATAAGTGTGTCAGTTGGGTACATAGATTTTAGGACTGGGATACCTTCTAAGTTTTAAGAAGTTCATGTACTGATGTTGGATAACTGTTTCTTAGGTGTAAAAAAATTTATTTTTCTAACTATGCAATCAATTTTGGTGGAAACTTGAAAGTGATGCTGTAAGGCTTGTGATCTATTTTGCATTCTCACCTTTTGTTTAGATAAGTTATCATGTGAAAGGAGCCAGCCAATTATCAAAAGTAACAAGAACAAGTGTTCCTTATTTTGGTGTGACTAGAGGAGGAGGCAAGGGAGAGCACTAACCAAATTATTGATTTATTTTATTTTTACTCTCAATGCATCCATTGTTCTGTTTTTATTATCTCTCAGAGAGATAAAAATTGAAGTTGCTTTAATCTGTTTCACTTTTTAAGTAAGGTCTTCATTTTCTTCACCTAATCACGTGCAGGAAGCATTGGAGGCTCACGATGGTGTTAGTAAAGGGAAATATACCATTGGACTTGGACAAGATTGCATGTCATTCTGTACTGAATTAGAAGATGTCATCTCAATGAGGTTTCTACTTTGGTTTTGATAGTCTCTGCTTTTGTATCTGGTGGTCGTGTGTTTGGAGTCGTAGTTGCATGTAGCTAGTATTCCTGCTTCCGGGTTATCCTTGTCGTTATTGACTAGGATGTCATAATCCATAATATTTTGTAAATGCTAAAGTAAGTTTTACAGCTTTACATAATGGTTTGATGGACCCTCGTTAGGGAAAGTTTAAATTGGTCATTCAGTAAACACTGCCCATTATGAAGATTCAGCTCTGCCAAAATTTTCAAGATGCATGGAATAATCTGAATTATCTTGATGTCGTGAGGACCATTTAAAACATGTTATGGTCATCAGTTTTTTGCTATATGTTGAACAAATGTTGTCACTTTTATATTAAAATAAATCTTTTAACGTATCTTTTAGCCTTGATGTAGCTTTATTGATTTTTCTGTTTCGTGTGACACTCTTGACGTAATTTTTCAACTTATTCTACACTTAGCTTGCTGGTTTTTGTGTTTTTTATGTTCAATATGACTTCAATGCAGAAGATTTATCTTAAACCTTATAATTAATAATTTTTCTGAGTCTCATCTCTTAATGACAAATTATTGCTTCTTCAGTTTGACAGTGGTTTCTTCCCTTCTCGAGAAGTATGGGATTGATGCTAAACAAATAGGTCGTCTTGAAGTAGGCAGCGAGACTGTGATAGACAAAAGCAAATCCATCAAGACATTCCTGATGCAGATCTTTGAGGTATCTTTCTAGTGTCTAGCAACATGGACATTGGATATATGATTCTCTGTGTCAAAGTAGACTGACTGTCTTCTTCATCTGATTGTAATTTAAATACCTATTTACAAAGTGATTCAACCTTAGTTTCTATTATTTAATCATGGATTGAACATTTTTTCTTAATCAATCTTAGGTGTATCAAACAGAGCACACGGCTAAAGTGGCTTATAGCTAGCTGTGCTCTTCTCATTGTAATTCCAGAACCATACCAGATACTGTTTTATATATTATAGGATGTCTATAATGTTAATAATCAAATTGGGTTGATTCTGTTATAAATAATTTTCTTGATCAAATAATTTGTTTCCATATCTCTAATACAATATTCATTTATTTGTCTGAAACAAACAGAAATATGGAAATACTGACATTGAGGGTGTTGATTCAACTAATGCCTGCTATGGAGGAACTGCTGCTTTGTTCAATTGTGTCAACTGGGTGGAGAGCAATTCATGGGATGGACGCTATGGACTTGTTGTCTGCACAGACAGTGCAGTAAGATAATTTCTCCTATCTTACATGCAATTTAGAGAACACTACAACTCTACAAGTTCCAAACTCTATACATGTCCTGGATTGTGTTGTAAGGTTGGTGATTTAATTTCAAGCATGTGTAACAGATATTTCCATTCTCAGGTGTATGCTGAAGGACCTGCTCGACCTACTGGAGGAGCTGCTGCAATTGCCATGCTAATTGGTCCTGATGCTCCCATTTCTTTTGAAAGCAAATTGAGAGGAAGTCATATGTCTCATGCTTATGATTTTTACAAGCCAAATCTTGCTAGTGAATATCCAGTAAGCTTTTCAATCCCTTTTCACTTCTCTTAGAACAAATTTTCTTTTGGGATAATATACTGTGATGGACAAAGCGTCACTGCAACCTTATTTTGGTCTTAATATAATATGAAGGATAGCATTTGATCGTTCATGTCTCTTAAGTTTTACTTGTAGCTCGTTGATAGCATTTTAGGATGTCAACTGCTGCAATAAATCCACATTTTTTGTGTTGTAGGTTGTCGATGGAAAGCTTTCGCAAACTTGTTACCTCATGGCTGTTGATTCTTGCTACAAACATTTCTGCAACAAGTAAGTTTCTGATAATTTTAGTATTTAAGAACATATTTTTTATAAATAATAATAAGAACTTGGGTTATGAAAACCAGACCAATAAAATTAGACCAATTTGAATTGATCAAAGATCAACTGATTAAATGAGTTTACTCAAATAATCAATAAAATATTGGTTTACTCAGCATTTGCTGGCTCAATATAGAAACCTGCTCTGGTCTCTATTGACAAAATATTTTTTTATATGCTAAATCTCATTTTCAAAATCTTAAAACATGTGCTAATGTGACTTGTGCATAATTTTAAGTAGAAAAAGGAGATTCTTTGTTAGGCTATAGATATTTTATTGAGACATACTAATAACGCATTCTTTAACACATTTTTTAAGGCATTCTTTATCATTGGCTGAAATTTGTTAGGACTCATGAAATTATAAATGAGTCTTATTAAATAGAAAGTGAGACCCACAACATTTTGTGAGTTTCAATAAATTTGAGCCAACAATAAAGAGTGTATTAGTGAGTGTATAGCTAGTATTTTGCATATTCTAAATGAGGTACGTCATTGTTTTACATTAAAGAGTTAACTGCATTAGCGAAGGAATTTGAGCCAAATGGGAAACTGAGTTTTCTGTGCAGCATTCTGCTTAGCAGTGGAAAAGTTATTGTATAAATAAATAAATCTGATAATATTTGTATTCAGAATGATACTATTGGAAACATTAAAAATAAATAACCAACGAAGTGCTTAACTATATTTACTTTTGCAGATATGAGAAACTTGAGGGAAAAGCATTTTCTCTTTCTGATGCTGAATACTTTGTATTTCACTCTCCTTATAACAAGGTAGTTTAGACTTTTTAAAGTATTTAGCATGTAATATTCTAACTCCTTATAACACATAATAATGCTTCCTGTATCATGTTCTATACTTCTGTATCTCATTGATGTATCTATAGTTGTATTTCTTTAGTATGTCTGCTTGTGTATTTCTTTTAATACTTCCTACTTTCTGCAGCTTGTACAGAAAAGTTTTGCTCGATTGTTTTTCAATGACTTCTTGAGGAATCCCAGGTCCTCTTCATTTCTCCATCATCTGTAAAACTTGTTTAATTTTTATTCAGTTAATGCTTGGGTGTTTTAAATTTGATTATGATTGCAGCTCTGTGGATGATGTTGCCAAAGAAAAGCTGGAACCTTTTGCAACTTTATCTGGTGATGAGAGCTATCAAAGCCGGGATCTTGAAAAGGTCTGAAAGCCTTTCCCTAATATAACCTCCTGTTTCTTTTAGATACTGATTACTTTTCCTTTTTATTTTGGGGTTGGATAATGTGGTGTAAATTCATATTTATAGAATTCGGTAGAATGTTTGCTTATGATGTGCAATATAATTGATTTGTAGGCATCCCAGCAAGTTGCAAAGCCTCTGTATGATGCCAAGGTACAACCAACGACTTTGATACCGAAGCAAGTTGGCAACATGTACACTGCATCTCTCTACGCAGCATTTGCATCCCTTCTTCACAACAAACATAGCACATTGGTGAATGTTCTGACCACTATCATGACATTTCCCCACAACAACATTTTGTGTTGTCTAATAAATTCATTTTACAATTTTCAGGTTGATAAGAGGGTGATATTATTCTCATATGGAAGTGGCTTAACTGCCACAATGTTTTCTTTGCAATTACGTGATAGTCAACCTCCATTTAGCTTGGCCAACATTGCTGAAGTGATGAATGTTGATGGAAAGTTGAAGTCAAGACGCGAGGTATTGATTTATAACTGTAAACGTCTTGTTCAATATGGAAGTATTGCGCATGTTCTTTTCAGGTTTAATATTAAATTGAACAAAGCTATTCTTAAAACATAAGAATGCATATGTTTTAACAAATATTTGACTGACTGACAAGTATCAAGGTGGGCATATATATATATATATATACACACACACACACATGAATGGAAGGAAAAAAAAAACTACTCTCTTAAGTCCATTTTTAGGGCATTTTTATCTAATTTACACAAATTTATGAAAGTAGTATTGATTCTCTTGATTTTTTTTTAAATTACGTGCCAATTTTACTCTCATTTAATATTATTTAATTTGATCTCATTATCAATATTTTAATTTTGAAAATTTGTTCCTTGCTTTGCTGATTTTAATTTATGATTCCTACATTTATTCTGGGCAAATAGGAAAAAGAAAGTAAATGTTTGTTAAGATCCTGGAAACAGAATCAGGTGTTGAGCTACAATATTCTTTTGAATGCAGTTTCCTCCGGAAGAGTTTGTTGAAACTCTGAAGCTAATGGAACATAGGTATGGTGCCAAGGAGTTTGTGACTAGCAAGGACAGTAGCCTTTTATCTGCAGGCACATTCTATCTCACCGAAGTTGACTCCATGTATAGGAGATTCTATGTAGAGAAAACTAAAGAAAATGGTTTGACTTCCTCCGTCAACGGTGGTATCGCCAACGGTGGTATCGCCAACGGTCACTGATGCCACCATGTACAACGAGCAATAAATGGTAGTATCAAAAGAAGGGTATTCTTATTTGCATTAGTTCTGTAAGGGATGGCAAATGGTTTCTGGGTAGAAAGTGTTAAGTCCAAATATTTTACCTATTTAAGATGTAGTTACTCAAGGCTAAATTTTATATATTTTTTTGTGTACTTTCGCATTTTAATTAATGGAAACTAGTCTTCGAAGATATATGGCTTTATCATTCGTATATTTGAAATTTCACGCCGGGAAATGCTAGCAACAACATTTCTATTTAACGTATCCTTAGTTAACAATTATTTAAAAAAAAATATAAATTTACGTGAATTTTATTTATAATTTAATATTTTACTTTTAATTTAATATCTTTTTATAATTTTATGATTTTTTAATAAATTTTAACTAATATATAAAAATGTGATCTTGACACTTCTAAGTAGATTAGTGTGCCTTTTTTTGTGATACAGGCCCATAAAAAAATTAGCAAAGGGAGAAATGGACCCAAGAACGAAATATGTATAGATTAATTTTGGTTTATGGTTACCAGATGTATCATTTATAATTTAGTTATTTTAGAAAATTCAATTTATGACTAAACTTAATTATTTTTAAAAAAATGTAAATTTGAGCATTTTGAGTTGAGTTAATTACTTAATAATAGTTATATTTATTTTTTTAAAAGTATTTATCATACAATTTTAATACAATGAACTTTTTCAATAAAAATTTATTACTTTTAGGTAACTTAATCCTAAAAAGTCCAAGACTACAAAACTCTAAACTAATTTGTGAACGCATAAATATTTGTTAGTTAATAATTTACTCATCATCGGTCGATGTTCAAGAATAATATTCAAAAGCATGAAATGTTTTTTTTTCTTTTCTTTTTCTTTTCTATGTGATATAAATGTGTTGTTTTATTTTTGGGGTCAAAATACGAGCTTCTATTCTAAGTAGGATTGTTTTTTGGATGATTTGGATGAGCCATGTGGGATCAAAGATTAAGGGTTAAGTGTAAGACTCCTGTTTTGTTATTTATTAGCTTTGTATTTTGTGTGCATTGTTAATACATGATGTTTGAAATTAAGAGAGTTTTAAGTGTGTGAGTTATAAGATTTTTTACTATAGCAAGATGTATCTCGTTGTAGCGAGAGAAATGAGCGTTTAGAATCAGGCTCTCTGATGCTCTCTCGTTGTAGCAAAAATGCTCTCGCTATAGTAAGGAGCTTTTGTTGTAGCTAGAATGACAGATAATAAAGGAGAAAAAATATTTAATTTTTTTGTTGCAGCGAGAGAAGGTCTCGTTATAGCGAGAATGTCGCGAGTTGAGGGGTATTTAAAGATTTCCAAGTTGAGAAACTTAGATTATAATCTAAGTTATGACCATTCTTCATTTCCTCTGACCTCTCTTATCATTTTCTCAGAAAATCCTTGAAAAGTTCAAATCTTTTCTTGATTTAAGCTTGGGAGTTCACTTTTCTTCCTCCTTAGTATGTTCTTGAAGCTTGGTTCTTCATTCCTTTGGTTATTCTCTTGTTTTTTCTCTTCTAAATAGGATCTCTTATGATATTTAGGAAGAACCCGACGTTTTAAGCAAGATCTCTCACAAACCCTTTACTAAACTTCTATTTCAAGGTAATGAGAGTTTTATCTTGTTACTAAGAAAGTTGTACTTTTATGTTCATGAAAATGTTGTGATAAAATGCATGATTTTGAGTATATGATGGATGAGAACATGTTTTTGTTATGTTTGAAGTATGTTTTGTGGTATTGATGACATGTATGATCCTTGTTTTTATGTATATGCATGTATATTATGGACTGAGTCTTGGGGTGACCAACCTTTGAAAATGATTGAATGATGTATGATGTGATAATGAATTAGAGCAAAACACGGAGATAAAAGCATGAATAATATGATAGTATATAGACAATGAGTTTAGGTTATAGTAAATAATGAATTTAGGTCATAATGACTAATAAGAAAAGTAAATGTATAATGAGAAATGTAGAAATGAAATGCAAAATATGGAAAGAGAAGTAAAATGAGGAAGGAACATGATAAGGACAAGTATAAATAGTTCAAAGGGTGTGGAAGATGGAAGCGATTAAGAAATCTTAGAAATATTAGAGTGGTGGATACTCTTCTTGAATTACGCATAATAAATGAGGGTCTACAGGCCTCACACTTATTTCCTGACTTAAACTCTTAACCACGCTTTTGCTAAAAGGGACTGGGTCGACACACATTATATCCGTGTAGCTGCAGCTATCTAGCAACTATTTATACTAAGGAAGACCTCAAGGGATCCTAGGGGTAATGAAAGTGTAAAGTGAGAACTCCGAATGTTAATAGAGAAGAAATGTAATAAGTTGAATAATTGATGAGTGTTGCTTTTATTTGCATGTAATCTTGTGGCATGATAGTTTGTTGTATTTGGTTTAGTTTGTATTTGTGAAACCCTTACTACTTATTATGCCATCAATATAAATATAATATTAAAATAATCCAAGCAGTAAGAAAGCCACATGTATGAGTTTACATTTGTTCACATTAATAGAAACTAAATACACCATCTGCATCAGTTATCCAAATATGTATATAGCAATCATCTGTCAAAATATACAGTCATCCAGTCATATAAACATATACACATAGTTGATTTACATACAAAATAAAGTGGGGTCACGATATCAGAGACAACAACAACAAAAATGACCTCACAGGCTTTTCCCCTAGACCCATGATTATCAAAAATACCATTTCCTCCAAAAGTTAACAGTACTCTAGGAGTAAATGAAAAAGTGAGTCTCATGGGTACCCTGATGGGGATGGGGTATGCCCGTGGGCCTGTTCCATTTCTATCTAACAAAAAGGTAATAGTGCCAGTATGGGTGGACTGTTGTCGTTCCCAATTGTGCGCCCATCTTCTTTCAGGATCATATCTGACTGTGACGCTGAACTGGTATGGTGGTCAGGCCATTTGTATCCTCACCTACTAAACATATTCACATACAACACAAATATATGCTAAAAGGGTGAGACAAACCCATTTCAACCAAAGTACAGTAGAAAACAAGTCAAGATATTTGCAATCATTATAGCAATTAGCAACAACTCAACACACAACGTACATGCCATGTATGATTCTGTGCATCACCTAGTTAATTGCTATACTGACACATGCATGTGGGCCCAAACCATTTTCTTTTTCTTTTTTCTCTTTCTTTCCTTCTGGGAAAGATCAGGAATTCACTGTCACCAATCATTCTTGGTCATAACCATCTCATTAGATAGTTTCAAAGATATAGCTCAACTGATTCTGATAATCCATCGGGTTCTGTCAGGATAGTCCAGTTTTGCAGTGAGAACCGACAGCACAGGGTTGCGAGCCCTGGCCTTTGCCCGGCTCAATCACACCCAACTATCTCCAAGACTAACCTGGAGTCTCCCTTAGATTTCGTATACTTCCCATCCAACACCATCATCATTACATGCTTATGATGCATGAACCTAATTTCAGTCTTTTAATTAGGTATTAAACATTTCTTTTTAATCAACAACATATATTTCAAAATTTTACCGACAATCCGGCAGAGTTTCCTCTATAATTCAGATATTTCTAAATTTTCTTCTCTCTGCAAAACAGCCAGAAAATTCCAATACACTTCAAATTTTAAACAGAACCTCACTACCACCACATTTCACAACTTTTCTTTCATTTCAATGGCTCTCAAATACCTTTTTCCAATTATCACCACATTTCAAAATACCCATTTAAAACAATTCTTTAAAATGAATTAAAATCCTTTAAATTATTTAAATATGTATATAGGTATATTTTAAATATATAAAAACTATTAAATAAATTTTGATCAAACCACTTGAAATTAAAGAAGATTTGTTTTTTTTTAATATCTTTATTTTGCAATTCTCCAATTCTTTTCAACTTTCAACAGACCTTCTATATGCTCACTCCACATGAATGATAGTTCATTCCTCAAGTATTTTAGGTAATCAATTATTTATACTGAATTCAACAAACAATTATCATAGAAACATCATCACACATAAAATCAATTTCAAAAAGGAATATCAAACAATTGTACACTAAGTATGGAAATAATTATAAATTCCTTCAAATAATTCATATATACATAGCAAAGAATAAAACACCCATTTCTCAACATTTTTCTACTATACCCGTGAAAATAGATATGTCCCCCCTTACCTTGAAGTGTATATCGATTTTTTTCTCACCAACGACTTCTTTCCACCACTTCTCAAACCACGATCCTAACCAAATAATCACACATAATCATGATCAATGTTAAGAGGCATTAATCACCCAACCCACTACTAGTGAGTTGAAACTATCATTTTCTAATCTTCGCAAAAATGGCTTACGGGTCTTACAATTGTTTTCTATGATGTAAATGGAATACTATAAGCCTAAAGGTGATTAAAAATAATTATTTTCCCTTCATAACACTCTTGGGACAGCACCTCTAGACCAAGGGTTTTAAACCTCCAAATGTATTTTTAACAAAACAAAAAGCACCAAAATTATTTATTATAAAATATAGAAAGATTAAGCTAATTAAAACATAATTTAGAAACAAAATTTTTGGATAAAATTTCACCCTCATGCCACTGTTCCAGCACCCAAAAGAGGAAGAAAATAAAAAAATTAATCGGTTAAAAGTGTTCAAAATGATGAAAATAGATGGAATATTAAAAAAATTTAATGAACTTACTTGAAAAATCAAAAGATTAGAGCCAAAGAAGTTTCAAAGCTTTTGGAAGGAGAAGAAGAGCACTTACGGCAGCCAAGAGTGAATTGGATGAATTGATGAATTGATCTTATCTTAAATAGTAAAAATAATAATATAATATTAGAATTTTCACTAATTTTTTAATAATTAATTGAAATAATTAGATAAAAATCCCAAAATTTAAAAATAATCATGAAATATATTAAACATAATTATAAAATAATTTTTGACACTATTGATCTTTTAGTTAGTGTCCAAAATTTTTACATACAATTTCTGCTTGAGCATATAACTAATTTACATAAAATTAACTAGAAAATCCAAAAATGCTCATTAATTACAAAAAAATTATTTTTATATTCCAAATAATATTTATAAATAAAATATAAATTTTTTATAATTTTTATTATTATTATTGTTATTTTTTTAAAATAAAATGTTATTTTTAGCATTATACAACAATTTTAACCAATACAAATTGATACTTTTTGAAACTTAAAAATTACCAAAAATTTCTTAAAAATATACCTAACAATTTTGTCTAAAGCATCTCATGCTAATTCTATCCCAATTTTTTTTTTTTCAAAAAATCAAGTACTATATATTAACTTAGAACTATATTAATAAATTAATCGTTTAGCAAAAACGAGGATGTTACAGTATTGTTGACGTGACTATGAATATATGCTTGGTAACGAAAATAGAGACTCAACCTTACATAACCTTTCAGGAAACCAGGACGATAGCACCCAAAGAGAGTATTAGACTTATAGATAGTTTTGTATAGTGTAGGTTAAATTTTGTATTTAACGAGTACCATAGATTTTTCTATTTTAAGTTGGCCTTACATGTTGATATTATATCTTGTAACATTATTATGCTAGAAATGAAATTATCTTATAATATACCTTTTGATTTCTCTGTAAATAATAGAATCTATCATACCATGTGTATGTACCTCTACCAAGGCACAATTAGAACTCCAGTAGTTGTGACTTACCTGTTCACATATCATAATCATGACCATCTTGGAAGACTAACTTGATGGATTTTTGAGCGAATTACTGGTTTATCTCGAGTCAGATGATGACCTTGATTTTGAGGATTTTGCAGAAATAAAAAGATAGCATTAGGACGACTAGTATCATTTCAGTCTTGGGGTGATAAATTGTTCATTAAAAATTTGTTATATTTTATATATTATAAATGTTATAAATGAGTCCTAAAGTATTTTGATATTATATTTTGTAAATGTCAATCCTTTGTAAATTTATGAAAATAATATATATTAATGTTATTTTACATTTTTTTAATTAGTTTAATTCTTATTACCTTGTTATTTATATTTTATAAATTTTTAAAAAAATATTTTATAGTTACATGTATTATATTCAGCTGGTAAATAAATTTAATTTAAATCTTTCTTTTCTATCTATAGAATTATTTCTTATTGTTTTGAATAAAATAAGAATATTAAATTAAGTCCAAAATGAACAAAGCGGAGTCATCTCATCGTTCTACCGATCTTCATAACGAGGTCCTATCCCAGTGATCACTGCACGTGAGACATGTTGCTTTGTTTTCAATCATCCATGGTTGGAAGAAAAACCAAGAATCATTACTCATTAGGTGGGGGATCATTCATTATCACTATAATAAAAATAATCCGTTGGCTCTGACTAAGATGGAGTTGGAAGGCATACACAGAAAGAGAGCATGCAAGAATTCTCTTACAAGTAAGTTGCAAGTTATACAACTGACTTATTCATCGTGTAGTAAATACAAATATAACATTGAAACGCACCGATACATATGAACGGAAAAGTACATTACGTGCGTGACTGCTCAAAGCACACAAACCGAATTCAACAATTAATGGACGCAAAAATGGTAACACTTGATAATATCTTACACAGCCTTTTTCCGATTAGGCTCGAAGACATACTTAACGAGGGAGTCGTTGATAGACAAGAGTTGAGGGAACTCTTTCTTTAACTTAGACGCGTCAAGCTCGTTGTTGCTTCTGGGGGCAACAATGACCTTAGCCTGTTCATCCAGAGTGAAGTTCTTCCATTTAAAGGTGGGATCCACGTAATCCCTATACAATTGTAAGATTTGGTTGTGGCTGACGACACCAGGGTTAGTGAAATTCCAGATCCCAGTGAGATTCCTCTTGGCCATCTCGATGGAGAGAGGGAGGAGTTCGTCCAGAATAGTCATGGAGTTGGGAATGTCCACAACCTTGTCGTATCGAGTGATCTTAGTGATGAAATTGCGAGGGTTCGACAAATCCGAGGAGATAGGCATCCTCACTCGCAAGGTACACACGTTGTCGTAGTTCCGAAGCAGATCTTCCACCTGTCAATGAGACAACGTACCATTTACATAAACAAAGGATGTAACGTTACTGCAAATCCAAAATAACTAATACTATACCATGGCCTTGGTCTTGGAGTAGAAGGAGCCGGTGAAATTAGGGGTGTCCTCTTCCTTGAATCCAATGGCGGATCCGAGGGAGTGAGAGGAATCGTACTCGAAGATGCAACCGGTGGCGTAGTTGATGAGGATGAGGCCTTTCTGGCGGCACACATCGGCGAGGGTGAGGGTGCCGACGACGTTGGTTCGGATGGTTTCAACCTTGTGAGATTCGCACTAGTCCACATTGGGTCTACCCGTAACGCCCGCGGCGTTGAACACGTGGCTGGGCTTGGCCGTCTCTATGTCGGCTTCTAAGGATGACCGGTTCTCGAGTCTGCCGGTGGCGTAGTGGAATGGGATGCCTTGGTCTTCGCAGAGCTTCCCCAACAGACCACCGATCCAACCGGTTTTACCGTAGATCAAAAACTTGAAGTGCTTCTCGGCGACGCCACCATTTGCTTCTAAACCCATCTTACCCGAGTCACCGATCTCTACAATCACGGCTTCCTCTCCTCTCTTTTGTATATATAAAGGAGATGCATAATATTCCCCTTTCTTTTTTCTTTTCAACGGAACACGACGGTGATTATAAAAGTAGTAAATTAAACAAAATTGAAAATTTAATAATACTGAGATTAGTTGTCCTACGCTGTCAACATAAAGCGCTTTTAATTGGACGTTAATATCTCCTCATCCCACATTTTTTGGGTCATAATTATCAATTAATTTTTCTTGTCTGCCTCATGTTCAATTGTTCACTCACCTTCTTCCCCCACCATGTAAGTAAAAATAAAATTAAGAAATGGTTAAAAAATTATAAAGAAGAGTTTATTTTAATTGTACGATGCATGTATTAACTTAAATGCATTACAAATTTATTATTTTATTTTTCAAAATTTGATAATTTATTTATGTATCATATCATGCAATCACATGTCTATTACATTTTATGACATGTTTTGAATGAGTATTAATATTTAACTGATTATTTTATTTAAATATTTGATATTTTAATATTTTTAAATGTAATGATATATTTTTAAATGATCATTAAAATTTTCATTAATTAAAATATGTTTAAAATTAAAAGCATTTAATGTTTGCACTGTTTATACTAGATTCATATTTTTATTAACAATTTAAATAATTTTTAATTTTTTACATTATATATATATATATATATATATTTGTGTAATATATAAAATACCTAGCAATATAATTTATATGAATTTAACTATAAAATTTGTTTTTAGTTTGGTACAGATTCTCTTTCTGTACCTCAAACATGACATCGAAAATTGATAAAATACCTCAAGTAATTAAACAGGGAATTAACGGTGATAATGAAAATAAAAATATAGGTGACATGAAACGTGCTGGGGGGACTAGTTGGTTCGTGTTTTCTTGTCTTTGTGGATCTTGAAATCGCCAAGACGCCAACGGTGAACAGAAAGAAAGGAAACCCGTCGTGCTCACATCTAAAGGAGAATAAAATTGTAGATGCCATGTTTCTGCAATCAAGACTCTTCTCAAATAATGATTATCCATTTATAATAATAATAATAGTCTCATCTTCCAAGAGATTAGGATTTCCGATCCGATATACATTCAAGCTGAAACCTTTAACGCCATTCATAATAGTCAATTTTACTGTGAGATATATTATTCATATATATAATCTTTCTTTATCGTATTACTCATCTTATTTTTTTATATATTTTTTCTCTACTTTTCTCTCATTTGTATCAACTATTGTATATTTTTGTTTTATCATCAATAATTTTTCTTTTACTAATGTCAGAAAAATCGAGGTAAGTTATGTTCTTTATTTAATTTCAAAATTCAAACTAACCCAGCTTTTTTTTTTCTTCCTTTTGTCTCATTGATACAAGACTCTTTAGATTCTTCTCTCATAACTCAGGTTTTTTTATTTAAATAATATATTTTTAAAAATAATTTTCCTAATTAATATACATATAATTGTCGTAGTTTTTTTTATAACATAATATATCACGCTTTTTTGGGTAATATTTTATTAAATTTTTTAAAATACATATGTATATTTAAAACGATACTTCTTTAACAATGACACATGATATGTAAAGAATAAATATATTCATTTTTTAAGCAAGACAAATATCTTTATTTTTGGAGCAAAACATGCATTTTTTGGATAAGAGGCGAAATAAGACTTGGTAAAATGTTATCACGTGACATGAAACATTCTTTTATCTAGTGTGTAATTACCGTGAATATTTAAGATTATGAATTTTTAAAAAATAAGATAAAAAATTATAAGAATTTAATTTTAATTATAGTATTAATTGTTAGTAAAAAATTAGTTATAATCAGTTTAGTTGATATATTTTTCATAAAAATATAAATTAAATTTATAATTGATTGAGTTATTAAAATTAGAAATTTAAAAATAAGTATGAATTTAAAAAATAAGATTATGAATTGTAAAGAATTTAATTTCAACTGTAGTATTAAATTTCAGTAATAAAAATTAATTATAATAAGTTTAGTTGACATACACACATTTGAAGTTAAATTTATAATTATTTGACTTATTTAGATTAAAAATTTTAAAAATAATATTAGGAATTTTAAGATATTGAATTTAATTTTAGTATTAATTATTACTCAAAATAATTTTAAAACATGTCAATATATCATCACAAAGTCTTACCTCTCACATGCAAACATAAGGATCTTGGTTTTTTCTAGTTTGCACAACACAGAATGTTTAGTTCTTTTTTTGCTTAAGCAAAAATTAGTTCGCTTAAGCAAATTATCCAATTTTTACTTAACTGCACATAAAATTGGCTTAAGCATATTTTAAGGGAATCCAAATTTGCTTAAGCAAATAAAGAATAGAGCAAATATTGAAAAGCTTAAGCATGTTGAAATGCTTAATTGAATATTATAAAATTTGAAAAAAATAAAAATAAAAAGTAGTTATCTAAGCCAAATCATAAGTAAATACATTGAACAAAGTATAAAAGTTACAAAATTCATCATGGTTGATCAAGAATTGAATGAGTTGTATCATCCAAAGGTTTCTACAAAAAAAAAGATAATTGAATAAAATATTATACAATTAAGAAAGAAAAAATAAATTTGTAATTTTATGTTTTATGAATCTACTGTGAATAATATAATAAAACTGAATTGATTGTTGAAGTGTGAGAGAAATGATAAGATGGAGATGCCGAATAATGGACGTCATAAGGTTCAAAAGGGGTGGGTTGATATTCTTAAAATATTAACAAGTTATTGGACATAAGACAAATAAGAATGGAGAAATTAACTTATTTATTGATAAATGCATTAATATATGTACCTCAAAATATTGGCTTTGAAATTGACCTCTTATTTGATCATTTTTTCCCCTTATACCTCAACCCAACTTTGGATCTCTCTTATTCTGGTGTATGTTCAAGTCATTTATGTGTGTCTCTCGTTGAAAACTTATTTGAGATTGACGACTGTCCTAACAAATAAACACAAGACTTTTCAAGGCTACAAAAAAGTAAATGCATTTTGTTAGTATAAGTTATACTAATCAATTCCTTTGAAGTTATTCTCAATTGTATAGTCTCATATCTATATAGTCTTTGGATCTCTCTCATTCTAGTGTATGTTCAATTCGTTCATGTGTCCTTCCCGCTGGAAGCATACTAGGAGTCACTCCTTGTCTGTGCCTTATTGCACTGGCAATCACTCTTTGCCCTCGTCAAAGGTTGAGGCATCACAAACCCAGCTAGGAACCATTCTCATTGGTGCTTGGAATGTCACAATTGATGACTAATATAAGGGTGTCATCATTGTGACTCTCACTATTTAGTTCTTTTAATCAAAGTTGTGTGATTTGACAAGACAACACGTTTATACATTCATCTTCCAAGTGAGAGTATTGTTCTGAACTAAATATCTTATATGCAAGTCTAATTATTTTAGAAGCTAGTTGTTGATATTGTCTTGTGATAGCAAGCTTATGATCCTCTTGATCCTTTATTCCTTTAACATTGTGTAAAAATTCTAGAATGACTTTCTCTTGTCCATAAGAAATTGTTTTTTTTAGCATAACCTTGATTCTGTTTGCTTCAAAAACCTTCAATGCATGGGAACAAAAGATGCTAAATGTTTCAAACTTTCTATAACTGCAACATATAGAGTTTGAGACATGATAAAATGATACTATCCATATTCAAACAAAGAGGAAGATCCATTCTTTTTTGATATGCAGTAGCAACTTTTGTTGGAATAGGTTAAAATTAGCATGTGTGTAAATTTTACCCATTTGTATTAAGATGAGAGACATCTCATATCTTAACATTGCTAGCTTATAATGAGACTCATACTCACAATTTAACTCACTATAATGCTTGTCTTCAACCTCACTTTCAAAATATGTAAATAATTATTTTATACCAACACTGACTTCATATAAGCTTTAAAATCAAAATTTACACTTTCACTTAGTTGAATACTCTATATCTCAAGTGCGAACACTTCTTTCATGTAACACGGTACTCATTTTTTCTTTATTGCGTATATTGATTTCATCCAATTATTCTAAAAAATATTGTATTCATCAAGGAGGTTTGCCCAAGCTTGCTCAAACTCACTTATTATGTCAAAGTCATACATGCATCTTTTAAAATCTTTTAAAAAATGACTTCCAACATTCATCAAATTATCAAGGTGTTCAATTTCATTTTGCATCAAATGTCGTGTGCACAAAACATGATGTGTCTTAGACATGACTTTCACAAGGACCTTAACCATTGCTTGATCTTGATTAATAAATAACAATTTTTTTTCTGAGTGTGTGCTTTTCAAAACATTTCAAACAATCATTAAAAGATTCAGTCATCTCATCATACAACAATGTTACACCAAAGATGACTACACTCCAAAGACACTCCAATTCTTGCATAACAATTTGTTATAGTCTCAGCTCTATATTTTGTAACTTGAGAAACTCTTTTATCTCCTCTTCGAATCCCCTTTTTACAACAAACATATCTACATGAAGTGATAGCACCTGTCTTCTTTTCGCTTATTGAAACATTGATTTCTAATACAAAAACTCATTTTTTACCATATTCATTCCAAAATTCTCATGCTTCATCTACACTTTCAAACTTTAACCCAATTCTTGCATAACAATTTGTTATAGTCTCAGCTCTATGTTTTGTAACTTGAGAAACTCTTTTATCTCCTCTTCGAATCCTCTTTTTACAACAAACATATCTACATGAAGTGATAGCACCTGTCTTCTTTTCGCTTATTGAAACATTGATTTCTAATACAAAAACTCATTTTTTTACCATATTCATTCCAAAATTCTCATGCTTCATCTACACTTTCAAACTTTAACCAAAATCTTGACTTCCATCTAACACTGTTTGTCGTCAATTTTGTAACAAAAAAGAAAAGAAATATTTGCTGACTTTAACATAACTTTCATGCAATTGAGTTTATAAAAAAAGAAAAGGATTAGTTTTGAATGGGAAAACAGACCTGACATCATTAAGTTATTATTGGTAATGGAGAAGCACAAGACAATATTTGCTAGAATACCCTCCAATATTGAGTATGAAGATGAAGTTTTGTTCTCCTTGCGTACGAGTTATTATTATTATTATTATTATTATTATTATTATTATTATTATTGAGAAATGAGTTTCATTTGACTTTTCTTGGACTATACATCAACCTTTACATTGTTTGTATGCAAAAATTACAACAATTTCACTTAAGCGAATTTGGTTCACTTAAGTGAGTCGTAATCGCTTAAGCATGATTTAGTGTGCTTAAGTAAATATTAGGCCATTATGCGTGTATCAGGCACTTAAGTGCATCTATATCGCTTAAGCGCACTTCTTCGCACAAGCCATTTATTGAGCTTCTATCTCTTTAAATGCTTAAGCAACATGATATTCGTTTAAAAATTTAAAATTTTACTTAAGTGAACAAGGCTCGCTTAAGTGAGAAAAGGAACACGGACCATTAAGGTAGGGATTTTAAAAAACTTAGGAATTACTCTTCCACATTCCTAACACCAAAAGTTTCAAAATTTTCTTTCGCTCCCCACAAACAGAGCAGTTACTTGCATTTCCAAAAGCCCCTCCTCTCCTTCGTCTCTTCAATATTCCTTGTTCAGGTAGCTTCTCCTTCTTCTTTTTAGCATTGTGCTTTCTTCCTAATGTAAAACTAGCAACTTGAAACTAATTTTATTTTGTATTTTATTGAATAGGATTTTAGGTTAAATGTAAAATAAGTTTATTCTCTGGGTTATAATGGTTTAAGGTTTGGGGTTGAATGTTCTTGTTTGTGATTTCTCATATTCTCTATATTTTTGCATCTCTTTAAAAAAAATTGCTTAAGTATGGTGCACTTAAGCAAGCAAATTTCGCTTAAGTGAGTTTGATCCACTTAAGGTAGTTTTGCAAAATTGTTTATGCATTTTATTTAATTGAGTGATGATAATTTTGTAGAAATGATACCGAAGAAGTTTATTTCTAAAAGGATAAAAAAGGCAACGTCAAGAAGTGAGTTCCGCCTTAAAAGAAGCTGAGGACATAGACACTCAACAATAACCTCCTTCTGCCCAAAGAGTAGTCAGTCCCACCCCTAATGCTGGATTTGACAAATTCAAATTTAGGACCTGAGCCAAATATGAAAGATTCCTTGAATTAAAGCAAAGGGAATTGTTGTCGGAAAGAGATGTATGGTTGTAAGAATGAGAATTTATTGAGTTTATAGATGAAATTAATAGGAGGAAATGTCATTGCATTGCAAACCTTCCTAATAGGATTGATAAAGAAATAGTGAAAGAATTTTATGCTAATGCATGGCCATTAAAATTAGGTCAAAGTGACAACAATTCTTGGGTTTGTAGGTGCTTAGTCTCATATGATAGGGAGACAAACATAACTTGTTGAAAAACCTCCTTACTTTACAAGAAGGGAAGTTGTGCCACTACTAGGTAAGGAGAAAGCATGTTATCAAATTCTTATATGGGAATGTAGTCGAGACATTGTGCACTCCAAGCAGATCATATAGACAAATCATCAAGACAAGTCAAAGAGGTTTAAGAGGGGGAGTTTGAAGACTTTGGCTCAGATTTAGACCTCATGTATGTTTACCAACATTACTCCAACAACTCACACATTAGACATGCGCATGCCTTAGACCTACCTCGTGTACAACATCATGGAAAGGATCACCGTGAATACTACAATAGTTATCTTTGAGGAGATTTATCAATTTGTGATGTTAAGTCCCTCCTATACTACAGCTGCAACAAAACTCTTAGGATTCTCAGCATTGATCACTACTCTTTGTACTGCCTAATATGTTCAGATACTAGACCCAACTACATCAAGTATCAAACTGAAAAGCCCATCAATGCCCAATTCATCAACAATTATTGCATAAACCAATTAGACCAGGGACATGCACCCTCTCAACCTTCTTTATCAGCACCACCATCCATCCCTAACATGACATCCATGGAATGTCATCTCACATAACATCTAACTCAAATACAATAGTAAATGGAGGCCAATTATCAAGCTTATACACACATCCACCACCAGTTGGTAGCAAACCATCGAGCATACACACCTTAATGTTCATTCTACTACTATACCCTACACCAACACCAAGAAGACATCAAGATTCCCTTGGCCTACACTTGAAGAGTTTGTAAAACATGTCTCATGGCCTAGAGAAACTTATCCATTCCCAAATCACCCCAACCAATGTAAAGTGTCTCTTGGACATGAACAAGGACAAGGGCAACAAGGAGCTAATGAATGGGTCACAGAAGAGCCTCAAAAGGAGGACAAAGCTATCAAGAGTAGCATGTTATGTAGCAGGGAGATCAAATGCAAGAGAATCATCCTCTGGATGATGATATTTTTAAAGAATGACGATTTGTTTAGTTTTCTATTTTCCTTGTTTTATTTCACATTTTAGTTCATGTTTAATTTAGTTTCACAATATTTTTTGTAACATCCTTACTAAAATTTTAATAATTTTCCTTAATATTATATAATATCTTGAAATAAACTTGATAAAATTTGTAAAAGTTTTGAAAAGCTTTAGAAAAATTTCACGGATATGTGGAAATAAACTAATAAAGGTTAGCAAATTTTAAAAGTTAGTTGAGGTAAAAGTCTCATTCATAATAAAGTAAAAATGCATTTTTCATAACTTGAATTTATAATTGGAATAAAAACTAAGATCTTATGTAACACACACACACACACACACACACACACACACACACACACATATATATATATATATATATATATATATATATTTCAAAATTTATAATATAAACAATAACAGAGCAATTCTTTTCCCACAATTGTTTATGAGTATGATTCTATATCGGATTTGTCTTAATTAAAATCTTCTTTTACCTAAAAATATTTGTAGGGGTGAGTTTCTTTCGCCCATTAAACTCTCATTTTAATAACATAATTTTAGTAACATAGAAAATATTTTCTAGTGTATTAAACATAAATTTATTCATAAAATCATTCTAATCAAACAAGGAACATTCACACACATCATTCATCACTCAATCAAATAGAAATTCATTTTTTTTGTTATTTAGCATAATTAATTTCTCCCTTTATCCACACGATCATTCTATTTTTCAACCCATGTCCCTTTAATAATTTCAATTATGAATTATTGATCAAATAAGAGTACTCTAGATACTCACAGACCTCTAAATTGCTGTTAACACAATCTTCCTAGTTATAATGGACTTATGCCAACATAGATAGTTGTCGTCTGCCGCTTTTTATTAGGCATTCATAGCAAATGTATAGTTAGGAAAATCAGTCAAAAAATGAGTGTGAGGCCTATGAATGTTTTCGCTGTCAATCATGTACACATAAGCTATTAGCATTCATCACCATCATTTTCTCTCAGATTTTTTCAAATCACCTTCGGACTCTAAACCCTAAGTGTATCTTTAAAATACCTATGCAGTAACTCAAATGTAGCACATCATAATCATATTGTTCCAATACACGTGTTGTAATTACACTAATCAATATATTACAACATA